CAGATATTATTTTAGTTATAGGACCAGCATCCAAAGAGAAAAAGCAAAAACCTGGAGAAACTCATTTGTTTGTCATTGCACAAATCTGTCATCATTCAAACTCACTTTCCTGAGCTCAGATATTTATAAGACAAGAATGAAGGGAAGGGATTCAGTTCCCCTCACATTGCAAACCCCATAAAGGCTAACATGTATTTATCTACTATCTATTATGGAACTGGATTTGGTCGTGTTCATCACAATAGTAATATATCATCAAGAATTAAATATAAGCTTATCATCCCAAAGTATATACAGTGAAAAACCTCAAGTCCCTGGATTAGAATGTCTAAGAAGGTCTTCTTATCCCGTTCACGCTACTGGAGTTCCAGGTATAAAGGTGAACATTTCTATTCACAAGACAGTCATGCACCTTCACAAAGCAAAGTGATAATAGAAGGCTCACTGTTTCAGACTAAGGTTCATGGCTGTTGCTGACATAGCTTCTTGTGAAGTAAGATGAACAAAGTATAGAAGTTGTCAGAGGGATGAATAAAGATCCCAAATTAGTCAGACTTTCATTTCTGCAACAAATCTCTGAGATAAATCTTTAAAAGAAAAAGGAAAAAGGGGCTGGGAAGATAGCTCAGGGGGCAAAAACACTTGCCACATGAGACTGAGGACCTGAGTTTGAATTCTCAGAAACAGTGTAAGAACTGAGCACATACTGCAAGCATCTGCAATACTTGAGGTTGTCTTCCAATCTCTACTATGTGCCCAGGACATGTGATTGGCCACACACACACACACACACACACACACACACACACACACACAAAGAAAGATAAATTTTTAATGGAAAGGGGATCCAAGATAACAGACAACACACAGGCATAGTCTAATAGGATATGCAAGAAATAAAGTGAGGAAAGCTAGATAACAGCTCTCAGAACAGGCAGATGATGGCTAACACTCTGTAGCATAGCAACAAAGTAAAACAAAACAAAACTTTAAAAGATAAAGTAAAATACACAGTCCATCTCCCAGGGGTTGATGTGGTCTGGGAAGCTCCTCCCTCTCAGCGACAGGGAGTTACAGCAGCTATATTTAAGATAGAAAGCATCAGAAAATCAGCATTACACTTTCAGTGACAAATATTTTTAAAAGATAAAAAGAAGGAAGAGGGGACATAAAAGTTTCACACTGTAGTAACAAAGGTGAGATGCCACTAGGAGTCAAGGAGAGCAGTGAAAAGAGATGATTTTGAAAAGAAACCTGCCGAATCAGTGACTCAAAAAGCCAGACCTTCTATAAACCACACCCTGGGGGAAACTCACAGCAAGTATCATAGGACAGTAGATGTGCTGGATAGTTTTGGTTGTCAACTTGACACACCTGCATAGAGGGGGCATCAGTTGGGGACTGCCTCCATTGGACTGGCCTGTGGTTATGTCTGTGGAGTATTTTCTTGATTGCTGAGTGATACGGAAGGGCTTAGCCCGCTGTGGCTTGTGCCACCCTTGGGCAGGTGATCCTGTGTTGTATAAGAAAGCAGGTCGAACATGGGCCAGGGGAGCAAGTAAGCAGTGTTCCTCCATGGCCTGTGTTTCAGTGCCTGCCTCCAGGTTCCTGATCTGTGTTCCTACTTTGGGCTCCCTCAGTGATGAACTGTGACCTGGGAGATGTGAACCAGATAAACTTTCCTCCCCAAGTTGGTATTTGCCAGTGTTTTGACATAGCAATTGAAGGAAAATGAGAACAATACAGAATATCTCTCTAAACTGGAAAGAACCTTTGTATCAGAACCATGCAGTATTCAGGGAGGTGGAGGCATAGTCAAAGACAAGAATCCATGGGAATATGGACCCAAGTTCCAAGTGATGCTTCCAATATTGAGAAAAACGCCTCGAACCAGGACCAGAAATCAGGCTCCTAAATGACCTTCCCAGAGGTGTAATCAGCATCTGTGACCCAACTGTGAAGGACTGCCCACTGGGTGGATTAGCAGGGACCAGCTAGTCAGCAAGATTGCATCCAGACTCTGTACCCTATCCAGATCGCTCCCTTTTGCTTTTACCAGTCCTTCATTATCCAGTGCCAGCTTCATGGGCCACCCATCCTGCTCTTCTCCTCCTCTCTCTTTAGCTCTTTTTTCCCCTATATTCACTCTTTTCCCATTTCCCTTTTGATAGGCTTTTCCAAAGAACATAGGGTAATGGAGTTTGCAGGATCTTCATGTCTCAGCTCCCAAAGACTGGAAACACTAAAATCATTACCTCTCTTTTCATTCTACCTTTACTCAAAACTGCATCATTCCACCCCTTTGTTGCTATCACTCCCTTCTTCTGTTTTCTTTTCCCTCCCTTACTTTTCCTCTATCAATCCAGTGCTTATCATTGGTCTTATTCTGTCATCTTCCTTTCCACTCATACCATAGTAACTAACATGTCAGTACACACCACACTGCCACTTTTTCTTTGCTTTACAAAGTGGTTGGACTTTAAGGGGTGATTGGATTGTTTATGCTTTTTCTATTGCTGCACGTTCATATTGGGCATACCCTTTGATAATTATTATTTTTTGCACACAGTGTTCTACTTTCAGAAGAGTACTAGGGACAAGTCTCACAAAGAGAAACACTTCCTCCTCACTCTGCCATAACCTAATTCCTCTTGAACAGGGCAAACACTTCCACCAAAAATAAATAAATGAATAAATAAATAAATAAATAAATATGCTTAAAAATTCAACTGACAATTATAATACCAGATCCAAAAGTCCAAATGCAAAAACAGAAGAAATACAAAACCCAAGGCAACATAACACGACTGCCTCAAAAATTGCTAATGCACTCTTCAGTGAGAATGAATTAATTGAAGTTCCACATAATTCAAAAGAAGAAGTATGTTCACATAATGAAAGAGAACAAAAGTACCTAGATTAATTCCAAGAGGACATAAACAACTGAATAAAACAGAGAAATCAATAAAAGGATATGAAGGTGTAATTCAATAAACATATAAATATTGTGAAAAGAACTAAATTGTAATACAGGAAATGGAAATTCCAGTAAATAAAAGACTGTAGAAAGCCAAAGAATAGACTATTTCAAGGGGAGGGTAGAATTTCAGAGCTTGAAGATGAAAGGAGAGGAATTGGAACATTCAGACAATAAATGGATTGGATAAATTAGTAAGAAGATGCTATGAGGGGCTAGAGACGGTTTGCTGATTAAAAAGTATCTACCACTTTTCCAGAGGACCCAGGTTGATGCCCAGCTAACACAGGTCCTTAACTCCAGTTTCAGGGGATCCAATGCTCTCTCTGGCCTCTGAAAGGGCCAGCCATATGCATGGTGCACTTACTTACATGCAGGTAGAACACTCATAAACATAAAATAATAAATAAATAAAATCAGTTTTTAAAAAGAAGATACTTTGTGACCTTATAGTGAGACATTACAGAGAGACCAAATCTATGCATCATGGGCATAGAAGAAAGGAGAAGATTTTCATGCTAAAGTCATAGAAAACATTTTCAATAAAACTATAGCAGAAAAATCCCCAAATCTAGGGAAAGTGATGCCTATCTAGGTACAGGAGTCATAAAGACTATCAACCAGACATAATCAAAGAAGAACCTCCTTAATTCATGTTACAATCGAAACACTAAAAACAAGAACAAAGAAAATATAATGAAAGTTGGAAGAGAGAAACATCAAGTCACATATAAAGAGTGTCCATCCCAGCAGGCTAATAGCAGATTTCTCAACAGAAACTTTAAAAGCCACCAGGGTTTGAAATCATGTAAAGCTCTAAAAGACAGCAACTGTCAACCAAGACTACTGTGCCTGGCAAAACTATCTGTCATAACTGAAGAATAAAGAAAAATTTTTCATAATAAAAACAGACTAAAGAAATTCATGACCACTAAACCAGCTCTTCAGAATATACTTGAAGAATAAACCAATCTGGAGCAGTAGCTGAGCAAACAAAGAAAAATCATTAAGTGATACAAAGTCAACAAAATGACTGACAGATATTAATGCACACTTTTCAATAGTAACTCAATGTTAATAGCATAAATTCTTCAGTCAAAGGAAACAGAGTAACACATTGGATAACAGGATCAATCTACTTGCCTCCAATAAATGTATTTCATCATTATATGTGGAGTCAACCCTTAGGGTCAAAGAATGGAAAGAGTATCTGACAAAGTAGACTTTAAACCAGCGAGTCAAAAGAGATGGTGAGATGCAGTCACCGCCAGCAGTGTCCACTCCTTTGTTCTCATGGGCGTTAAGGCTGCTCCCCGGCTCGCCCTGGGCTGAGTCCACTCTTCTGTTTGCCTGGTGCTGAGGCAGCTCTTCTGCTTGCCCTGTGCTGCCTCCTGTCCTGGCTGCTTTTCCCTGGTCCCGGACCCCAGGAGACTGTGTCAGTGGAACTGCATTCAGACACAGGAGACCAGGTTCAGTGACACAGGTCTGCTTTATTGCAGGAAGGCACAAGCTTATATAGGGGTGGTGGTCCAATCACAGCACAGCAAGTAGGATACCTCATTAGCATAACAGGTTTAGCACCCTATCACAGTACAGCAAATAGGATACCTTATTAGCATAACAGGTTTAGTGTCCTATTAGTATAACAGATTTAATGTCCTACCACAGAATAGCGGGTAGGATGCCTCATTAGCATACTGGGTTTCAGATTACAGAGCCTGGATTCCTGGAAACCACGTGACACTGACAGTTGCAATATTACCCTAGGCTCAAGCCTTTCTCCCACAGTGAGAGTCGCTTTATACTGAATAATGCAACAATCCATTCCAAGGGGATGCTAGAATTTTAAACATATATCAAACGCAGGTGTGGCCAATTTCATGAAAGACATACTACTAGAAGTAAAGATACAGATTAATCCAAAACAAAAATACTGAGTGCCTTAAATACTATTGCCAATAGAAAGGTTATTCCATAAAAATGTGAACAGAAAGCACATTTTTTTTGTGTGTGTGTGTGTGTGTGTGTGTGTGTGTGTGTGTGTTCATCTGGTGGACAAAGACAAAAGACAGGTACAAAAATTAATCCTCTTTTGCAATGCAGAACTCACTGTTCAGTATAGTTTTGGTCCATACAAGAAGGAATATAATGCTGGCAAGTAGGAGTTGGCCTGGCTGCTCATGTGCACCAGCAGGGCAGAGCCAAGCCTGCCTGACTGCCCATGTGCTCCCATGGCAGCCATGGTTGGTCAACCACCATCATCACCTCATGGCTGTCAAGACATGGATACAGCCCTCAACAACATTAGGAATCTGAGAAGTCTGAAGATTTCATAAAATAAACTGGAAGACACTTGTGTAAAGCTGTCATATGAAGCAATGAAACTTCCCAACTGCCATTCAGAGAATCTTGGCTTGGAGGATGTGAGCTAATTGCTCCTTCTGTGAGGACCTAGCTTCTGCTTTTACCAACAGTAAAACACTGTGGGGGAATCAACCTTGGTCCACAATGGGCTCATTGTGCTGGGTGAGACCCTGAAACAGCTAAAATGTGACCTGTATGCAAGGGCTGTGAGCAACTAACTTTGATGAGGGAAGCCAAGTGTTTCTAACTGCTGAGAAAAAGACAAATCCCTACCTGAAATGCCTAAGCAATGTGTAAGAGAAATAGAAAATAGAGTGAAAATCTCATTCTAAGAAACCTGGGCATACTCTGATCCAAAACCACTTACAAAGGAAAGGGAGTGTGCCCTTACTTTGACCCACCTGCATGTAAAAATTAAAGATCACTGACATTTCAGTGAGGTATTATTTCTCTGGTACCCTGCTCAGAGGTACTATGTAAGATGGATGAGGCTTTTCATTTCTAATAGAAGACGTGAAGCTGGAGATGAGGGATGGAGGATGGTACAGTGAAGGTGGAGCTAGGAGAAGAGGCCTGAATATATTCAAAATTCATTGTATGAAATTATTGAATCAATAAAATTTCTCTTAAACTTCAAAAAAGTAAAGAGAGGACCATCTGAGGAAATGATCACATAACTCAAATGGACCTAACAAACATCTGTAAAACTTTTCATCAAACACTGCAGAACACACATTCTTCTTGGCAGCCCATGCAGCAGTCTTTAAAATAGACCATCTAATCAGACACAAATTGGGACTGGAGAGATGGTTCAGTAGTTAAGAGCACTGATTGCTCTTGAAGAAGACCTGGGTTCAAATCACAGCATCCACATGGCAGCTAACATTGATCTATAACTCCAGTTCCAGGGGATCTCTATTCTGTTCTCCATGGGCACTGCACAAACAGGTGCACTTACATATATGCAAACATAACACTCATACACATAAAACAAAATAAAAATATTTAGCAGGACAAAAGTCTTTAAAAATATAGAAAAAGCTAAATAACTCCTGATATTCTATCTCTTTGTACTAGAGAAAGCCCCTATGAAATAAACAATAAAAGAAACTATAGAAGACATAGAACTCATGAAAATTGAATGACATACTATTGAATGGAGAAAGGGCCATTGAAGAAATTGAGAAAGAGATTTAAAAATCTTAGAACTGAATGAAAACAAAAACACAATTCACCAAAACATGGGATACAATGAAAACAGAAACAAAAACAGTATGTTACTGGCCCACAAACAGGCATGTAGATCAATGTAACAGAGCGCAGGACCCAGATACAAACCCATTCTATAAGGAAGGATGATGTCATGTCATTTCCAGGAAAATGGATGCAATTGGAGAGAGTCATGTTTAGCAAATTAAGCCAGTCTCAGAAGAACAAATAGTGTGTATGTGTGTGTCTGTGTATGTGCGTACCATATGCATGCCTGATGCCTGCAAGGCCAGAAGAGGATGTTGGATCCCAGGAACTGGAGTGAGAGACAGTTGTAAGCTGCCATGTGTGTGCTAGAAATTGAACCAAGATTCTCTGCCAGTGGCAGTGAGTGCTCTTAACTGTGGAACCACCCTCTTCTGGCTTTCATGGGCACCATGCGTGAATGTGATGCACAGACATCCATGCAGGCAAAATATCCATAAACATAAAGCAGTAGCAACAAAGCATGGTGGTGGACCTGTAATCTCAAGTGGTAGGGAGGCTGACAGGTGGATCCCCAGGGAAGATGGTCAGTCTATTTGGTGAATCCCAGGCCAGTAGAAGACTTATAGCCTCAAAAATGTAAGGCAGCCAGTGCCTCAGGGTAAAATCCAAGCTGTCATCTGGCTTTCCCATGTGCACATCCATACACAAACACAAATCCACATGAAAAAAATAAATAAAGAGGAAAATTTTCTTTTGTCTCTTGATTTCAGAGATTTCGTCCCATGGTGATCTGGCCCCTTGGTCTTTGAGTTTGTGGCAAAGCAGCACATCATGGCAGGAAGCACCTGGTGGAGCAAGATACCCACCTCATGGCAAACAGGAAACAAAGCAGGACAGGGAGAGGCCAGGATCCACCATCCCCTTCAAAGTTACTTCCTCAATGACATATCTTCCTCCAACTCGTGAGCTTCCTCCAGTCCCTACCACCTCCCAGTACTGTCATGATTAGGAAAATCAAGCATTTAGCACATGGCCTTTGGGAGATAGTTTAACTCCAAACTTTAACCACACTTCTAGTTTTATTTCTGCCACATTCTTTTTACCTAGTTTATTGAGGTTCCTTCTTTCCAGGGGTCTCCAATTTGTGTCAAGCTGACAAGATCTAACCAGCACAGTCTTGCTTGAAATGAAGATTTGTTTTATTTTGTTTTCATACCTTTCTCATTCATGTTGTGTGGATCTTTCTGGAGTTATGTCACAATTTAACCTTCTGGGGAATAAGATTGATGTCACAAATCAAAAGTTGTAGTGATGAATCTCACTTTGGAAATGGATTTTGAAGGAGGAGTTGAGAAATCTTAAACAACAAAATGAAAAGAGTAAACATTGACACAAATGTTAGAAAACATTGAACAATGACTCAGTAGGGTCAGCAAATGAATGGGTAATTGGGAAACTGGCTTCTATCATGACCATGCCCAGAGGTCACCAGCACACAGACAGGTGCTCCATAGCTGGTCTCCCAGATGATCCAGATGTGCCTTCTTTAAATAGTCACTTGAGACAAGATGTTACTAAAAATATTGAATTATTCTCTAAAGTAAAAAATTATGTGCTTATTCACAAATCTTGTGTTGTAATCCCTGATCTTTGAGTATGGTTGTCATTCTTCATTTTTCTTGCAGTGAACATACTCATAGTATTCCAACTCTGAACTTGAACCAGCATCTCTGAAATAAGATGAACTTTTAAATAGTCTTGCAAAACCAATTTAAGTGTAGAACCAATTCTGATTATTGAAGTCACCCCAGTACTTAATAATACTTTGTTGATTCAAAATGTCATATCTAGTATTTCAACAAGATTCAATTGAATTTTCATTGGTACCTTTGTGTTTCCAGGGGTTATATAATTCACAATAAACTATAGTAACAATTTATAATCACTAACATTTGAACCTAAAATATCCCCCAAAATCCTGTGCATTAAAAATCTTGGTCCTCGGTTCATAAGGCTATTGGCAGGTGGTAGAGCCTTTAGACCATGAGGTAAATAGGATTCTTCCACCACATACTCCCACCAGGATGTAGTGTTTCACCAGAGACCCCAAAACAAGGGCAATAACTGACCATGAGCTGAAACATCAGAACTCTGAGCCCAAATAAACCAGTTTTCTTTTTAAGTTGATTGTATCAGATATTTTGTTACAGTAATAGAAAGCTAGCACAATTATATTGACCCCAAAACAAGGGCAGCAACTGACCATGAGCTGAAACATCCAGAACTCTGAGCCCAAATAAACCAGTCTTCTTTTTAAGTTGATTGTATCAGATATTTTGTTACAGTAATAGAAAGCTAGCACAATTATATTTTAAGTTATAACATGTACATAAAAAGAACTCAAATCTGGGGGCTGGAGAGATGGCTGCTCTTGCAGAGGACCTACCCACATGGTGGCTAACAACTATCCATAACTCCAGTTACAGGAGATTCAGCACCTATTCTGGCCTCCATGCCACTGCACAACACTTGTTTATCATGGTAGGACACTTCCCTTGAGTGAATATACAGTTTACCACATATTAATGGAGTAAAATAACCAGGCCAAAGGGCACAGAGAACAAGCCCGTCATTCACCAGCCCCTAGGAATGTCACCCAGACTTCTTAGGAAATGTGAAAACATTCTATTCTCCCTGTGTGTCAGCCCCCAGATATGCAGCTAATCTGTTAGTTCATGTTCCTCCTGAAGAAGACAAGTCTTACTTAATTGGCTACAGTCAAGTACAGTGAATGCCAACTTAGTGAATGCCTTTCCATTTTGAACAAGGACTTACAAAAATGAATTTCAATATTTTCTGGTGCTGGCTGTGCTTCTTATATGCTAGCACTTAACCCCATGTTTTCACTCATCTATTAATTCTTAATTATATGAGGATGATAGATGTGAAAAAAGGGATTGCTTGCCATCAAAGATAGATTAAGAGCTTGTGTTTATGTCAGTCTCTCAAAACTAACCTAGAGAACCTGAAGCATCAAGTTAGGAAATGAGAAATACTCTGATTTCACACAAGTCTGTGCTGATAAATGACCCTATGAGCCCATTATAGATTACTGATGTTTCTAAAACTGTGATTTTCACTATTAGGAAAAATTGGGACAAGGGGTAAATATTGAGAATTTTAGTCTCATCTGAAGTCTCATATAAAACTTTGCTCTTAGATTGGCTTAAACAAACTTCACGCATTGCCCTACGGTCCAAAGCAGAGCACAGAGTGCAAGGTACTGATGGGGCTGAGAGTTCTCTTGTTAATCTTTCCTTACGGTGCCTTGAAAATCTGAGCAAATCAAGCAAGAGCCCCCTTTTCTCTATTTTGTTTTATGTTAGCTATTTAAAAATAAATGATATATAAGATATAGCTATTTACTTAATTACATTTCTTATATATAAGAAAGTTTATTGGGTACTTGAAGGGTAAAGGAACTATCACTGTTGGGATCATGAAATTGGCCTTGATGATGACTGCTGGGTGTGCAGTCACCAGAGTGCATCATAAAACCAGCCTTTCTGCATGCATGAGATCTTCCCGGTATTTCCAATAAATATCTCTTCTCTCCTTCAGTCATGAGTAATGGATGAAGATTCTTATTCCAAATTCTAGACTTCAGGAAGCCTACTTACAGCAAGGCTGGAACAATTCCATTTCCTCTTTCCACATCCCATCATCCAGCACTTCCCTTTAGTCCACTGCTGCTGCTGCAGTACTAATTTTAACTCCAAAATTCCTCATAAATGTAATCAATCCTCTTCCTGAAAATCATGTATTGATTAGAATCCCAAGCGAGACAGAGGAAACAAACCAAGGTAAAACTCCAGCCCATTTGTTTTCTTCTTATTTAATAAATAAATGTTTCTAAATCCAATCTCCTCATCTCAAGGTCACCTCCAAATCTCTCCTCTTCTCAGAGCTCAACTTTCTCCCTTTTAGTGACTCAACTCTGCACATTTAATTCTTATCTCCTCACTAACTCCAAGTTCCTTGTACTAGTCTCTTGTAGGGAAATCAAGTTCAGCAAGACAAATGTATGCTTACCTTTTTCCTCCACAAATTGGTACTTCTTTGGGGCCTATGCCATGGTTAATGATGCCACTACGTTTTTCCCCACTATCTATGGGGAGCTGATCTCAGGGCCTCAAGGCCTTTATCCTCCAAGGATACCCAAATCTGAAGATGTTCCAGTCTTTTAATAAAATGGCATAGTGTTTGCATTTAGCCCTTCAAATCTTTTTACCTATTGTAATTAGCTCTAGATGAATTATGCCTAATACAAGAGAAAAGGGCATTCCACTGAATTGCTTTGGTTCTACTGATAAGAAAAAGTCTGTGCATGTTCATTACAGCTGCAATTTTTAAAGTCTGTCTTCTATCCCTAGTTGATGAAATCTGTTGATGTGGACCTTACAAAGGACCAGATGTGCTCACCCAGTGATCTGAGTGAAAACTCGAAAGAAGACTTTGAGACTGGCTGGGAATGTGGTAGGAGAAAACTGGCTCCTGAGTGGAAACCAAGCTCTGCCCATTCAACTGCCACCCTCTGTTCAGGGTCTGCACTTTCACTTCAGAAGAGTAAGACTCATCTGCCTTCTCTGGCTGGTCAGGACAGTTCATGGTTATTTTCTCAACCTGCATAGTCTCCCTTGCAATCCACTCTATATCATGTCCAGGTTTATGATCTCAAATCATGTTATCTAATGTATGATATCTTAGAGGACTCCCTATGTTGGAGCACACTCCAACATAGGGAGTGTGCTCTCTGTTAATATTTGTTCCTCTGTCAAACTTTCCCTCTTCTAGGAAGGACTTGCTCTGTCCCTCCCTTTTCCTCTTTCCTTCTTTCTTTTTCTCTCTGTTCAACTTTCCCTTCACTATCCATCTCAAATATCCCACACTGCCTCTCTTTGAAGAGTGTGTGTACTCTCTACAGAAAGGTTAATTGCATTCTCCTTTGAGCTCCAACAGTATTTTGTCCATACTGGATAGGAGAGCTTTTTCACATGAAATGAAGTATCTCTCTTCTCGCTTCGGATGAACCCACCTCTCTACTTACTTGGAACGTGACGAGTGGCCAGCAAGTGTCCATTTAACTAGCTGAAATGAAAAATAAAAGAATGGATGTAGTTTTATTTGTAGTCAGTAGTTGTTTCAATAAAACTGATTTGGGAATTATTTACAAAAATGAATGATGCCCAGTCTCTCCCTTGTGCTCCCAACATTTCCAGGTTGACGCTGCTCTGGTGGACAGTCCCTGGGCTACACTTTGCAGCAGATTGTAGCACACATGTTAGCTGGATAAGAACATCTTATGTGTGAAAAATGATATATGAATGAGATCGGAGGAACTCTCAACTACACCACAAAATGCATATTCAAATCCAGAGGGTATGTGCACTAAAAATAAGATCTCCAACCCCACAGCAGATCCATAAATACTTTTTATTCCTTTTTGCAATGCTGAAAATTGAATCCAGATGGTTACATATACTGGGCAGGTAGTCTACCACTGAATGATACCCCAATCACACTCAAATGGTGTATTTTCTTATTGCTTATTTAAAGGGTATGGGATGGAGGGGGAACCCATGTGGCATAGCCTGCATATGGAGATCCCAGGATAGCTTGTGGGAGTCAGTTCTCTCCTTCTACCATGTGAGTTCTGGGGATTCAACTCAGGTCTTACCTGCTGTGCCACCTTGCCAGCTCTCAAGTACTTCATTTTTAATAAGCTTCTAGCTATACACTGGCTTAATTCCACTTCATAAACTAATATTTGGGGACCAATGGGATATTTTCTCAGAAATAGTTTCCAGATGGTAGATGGAACAGGAAAAATACTCATGAAAGAAGGGTGGTCAAAGATTTTATTCGTGACTTTTGGATCGTGGGAAGGAGATTGGGAAGGCACTTCAGGCAGAATGGACTGCTTCACAAAGATGCGGTGGGAGGAAGAATCATAGGATGTATAAGGGCCAGAGAGTTCACTGTTTTGGCTGAGGTGGAAGCAGCTGATGATGGGTGTAGTTGGAATTGTAAGACTCATGTTTCCTAGACAGTGTAATACCAAGAAAAATAATTAATGATGTTAAAGCAAGGCAATGTGGATGGTGAAGGTAGCGGTTTAGGGAGTTTCCAAGCTGTGTGTTAGATAACACAGTATATAGAAAGGGTCAAAATCAGAGGTACCAACAAAAGCATTATGGACTTTAAGACTTTAAGTAGTGGTACTCTGGATTAATGTGTTAACAGTGACTGAATGGGGGAAGTAAGAACAACAAGGGGATTAATCAGTGTAAGGCAAGACAGTGAGATGCACGGTCACCAAAGAACAAAGTTACAAGAGAAATAACACAAGGCTTCATAGGGAACACATACTATACTGTCAGATCCCAAGATCCAGAGAGGAGGCCAAGTAGAAGTAGGGAATTTGGTTTGAGGTTGTTTTGAGTCTAATAAGGACATATGGCAGAGAGGAAGGACAGCACCAGAGCTTTCTTTCAAGTGAGGAGTGTGCTAGAACAGCAAGTTTAGAATCATCTTGGTAAAAATAATTGTTGAAGCTGTGAAAGAATTGGTTCAAGGTTTCTGAGGACATACACATGGAGAGGGAGGGCAGATCCATGGATGAGAGGCTTTGGACTCATAAGAAGAGAAAAAGAAGAATCCTCAGAATGCTTGTGTGGAAGTGTGCTTGCCTAACATGTACGCAATTCTAGGTTTTGTTAAATCACAGACACTCTAGGTGCCCTTCTCTCTCCCAGGCATCAGGGTCAAAGCCCCCTGCAGCTGACAAGCTCCTGCAGTGAAGATTAGAGTACATAGATATGGGAAAGGCCTGGGACCAAACCCAGCTGCTTTTTCTTGCAACTGCAAAATAGGTAAGCTTATATGCCTCTTTGGTACCTGCCTCTTCCATGCTCCTTGCCACCTAGGCTAAACCAGACTGAATCACATGGTGTGGAACTTCCTGCCACCCCCTGAGCATCTATAAAACTCAGAATTACCCCCATTCAGTGGATTTCTCTGAAGACTTTATCTTTCTGACACATCCCATGCTATATATAGTGGCTATCCTTCCTGCTCTCCCATGGGTTAAAACCTATTGCTCTTAGTGAAGCCTCTCTCTCTCCTCAGGGTCCATCATGCTGTCTCAGGTGTGATGTTATCTCCCTCCTAATTGCTCCTACCTTAAGGCCTGAGCATAGCTTCCATGTTTACAGTGTTTTCTCTTCTAATAAAGCTCCCTCTGAAGGGTAACGTCTCGGCTTCCTTCTCCAGGAACCTATCTCCTGCAATAATTTGTAATAGGTTACATCCCCAGCACCGCAAAAGAAAGCTGCTGCGCCCACCAATGTAACAGAATTTTAAGCTAAGCACAGAAAACATTTCAAGGATTAAGTTTAATTCTGAGTACAAATAAGAAAAATTGTAATGTGGAAAAGCTTACTGTATTTGGTAACAGATAGCCCAGACGACCTTGATTTCTACATATGGGAGGATGGCCACTAGGGAGATTCATCCTGGGAGAGCTCCATCTGAGAAAAGACAGGCGAACTGGGCTAGACACTGAACCCAGATTTATCAGGACAACAACGACTCTATTATTAGATAGTAGAGAGTTAGACGGTCTACCATGAGTCAGAGATCTTGAAGATGGATGAGGTGGATGAGGGCTCTATGGAAAAGGGAGCCATGCAGAACTAAGATGAAGGAAGAGAAGGGAAGATGCAAATGTGGTTGGACACTGAGCAGATGCCAAGCAAGTTTGGGCTAAAGACCCTTCAGAAGTACAGAGCCTCTAATCCAGTGCTTGCTTGGTGACTTGCAGCTTGAGGGGTGTCTCCTTGTTGCCATAGGAGCTCTAGTTACAACACATCAAGGCCCTCAGTAAAGTTAGAGGCAAGGGTTGATGGCATAGAATGTTAAGACCCTAAAAACCCATTCAGAATATATAAGACAACCACTAGAATGTGTTTGCCTTCTTGTCTGCCTTCCTTTCCTCCTTCTCCCTTCCCTTCCCTTCTCTTTCCCTTCCTTCCCCTTTCCCTTCCCTCCTTCTTCCTTTCCTCCTTCCCTGCCCTCTTCTTTCCTTTCCCTTCCTTCTGCCATTGCCTCGCCTTTCTTCTGTCCCTAAATCCTGCCCACTAACACTCAGTAATCCTACAGCCTAACCTTAGCAACAGCAGCCTTGACCAAAGACCAGCCCTCCTGTCTCAGGAATTAAGACTCACATTACCAAGTAAAATGAGATGAACCTGGTGGGAAAAGACTGAAGGGATGCTCTAAAGAGAAGAATGCAGTTCTGTGACAGGGGTGCTGTGACCATCACTGAATGAGGAGGTGCCACAGGGCCATGGGGAAAGGACAGAAGCATCAACTTCTGATGAGTAAGCATTTTGTTCTGGCCATATTCACTAGGAGCAAGCGGTTCAGCTAATCATTCCTAAAGCAAAGAATGAACAGTTTAAGATTCCCTCTGATCTCCTAAATAACGAAGCACCCTGAACCATCAAATTCTGTGGGAAAGATATTCTTTACATCAGGCCATTCCTCATCACACAAATGTGGAGGAGGTGGAACTGGTTTTTTAGGATCACAGGGCTTGGGTAGAAATCACCAGCTGTCAGTCTCTAGCCCTCCGATTTGGGGTTTTTCTCAGCAATTGAGCCCAGACAACTTTCCCTGATGTTGCTTTTGGTAAATTCAGCCTAATGGTTGTACCTGGGAAGTTTTCGAGTTCCAATGACTAGCCTCATGACTCATGAAGCTTCTCCAGCCCTTTCCACTGCCTGCAAAGGAGAGTACAGAAATTACTTAAGGGATAGCATGACTTTGTCAATCTTTTGTTTACTTACCACGTGGCCCAAGCTCCTTGATGTAAATAGTACTTTATTGTAGTGACACATATACCTCAGATTACCTACAGGGGGGGGGGATATGGCATTTAGCACAGACACAGAGACTTTAGGGAAGCCAGGAAGCCAGGTGGTACCTGTACTCAGCATCTGATCCTGCTCTAGGCCATGAGTTAGGGGACCAGGCCAGTCAACTGATCTCTCTGAGGTTCAATTTCCTTCTCTGGAAAATATAAACCAGCATGAATTCTCTAGGTTTATGATACGTTAAGTGAGTTACTCCCAGCTGAGATTTAGAACACAAGGCCCCTGTTGAGCCTGTATGGGTACAGTTTGGACTGTGGTTGCAATATACTGCAAAAAAGGTGTATCTCTTACCATGAAGGACTCATACTTACCAATCTACGTCTGCAATGTAAACTCCCCAAGTATCAAGGACCACCAGAGACAGCAGCATCCCCAGAACCCACCATGGTCCTTGGATCCTCATAAGTGTTTAAAGTTGCTTACTGAATGTGTTCTAGTATGCGAGAGAGTGTAGGAGGGCAAATGGATGGATGGTTAGATGGATGGAATGGGAAAAGAGAAAAGGGAGGGTAGACTGAATGGATGGAGGGAAAGAGGGAGGGAGCAAGCACTGTACAAGGAGATGGAAGGGGATGCACCCAGAGGAAGAGGGGCTTTGCTGTAAGCCTCTTTACTTGTTAAAATGTGGCACATTGATAGCTTTTTATTGTAAAATGTTTCTTGTGGGGGAAAAAGAAGTGTGTTTTGTAACTCTATTAGAGCTGTACTCTGTCCTAATGTTCATAAGAAACATCTCTCCTGTCTGGGCAGGCAGCTGTTTTGAATAGTCACACAGTGTACCTTGAACCCCTCTGTCCTACTCTCCTTCAGATTCAAAGCCCATGTTTGTTGTTTCCCCCACACTTCTTCTACGATAGGCTGTTTGACTGACTGGCCTTGCATTTCACTCACTGTCAGCTCACTGTGTCCCAGTTAGTGCCCCAAAGTGCAAAACAAGGGGCAGCTTGTCTGCACTCTCCTGTAAGTTCTTGCTTAATGGTTTCCAATGACATTTTGCTTCCATGATTATTCTGTTACTCTTTCCTAAATACAGTTTTTCACAAATGAAGTCATTTGCCTTTTCAAGCAAAAAGTGGTAACAGATAAATGCTGCCATTACTGCATAAACAATTAAGGCCTTAGAAGGAGTCACTCAATGGCATTCCTTGGGTGGCTTACTTTAGAAGTTTCCTGACTTGCTTTGTATACTATAATCACAGAGCTACCTTTCTTGAACCCAGTGGTTTTTTCTTTCAGTGTTTTGCAAAAGGTGTTCAGGATTGCATCCCTTGTGTACAAAAGGAGACAAGGAAACACTTAAGCTAGGAGTGCCAGACCTGACTTTACGGATTTGTCTGGTCTCCATAAGTTTAACCTCAACTTCCACATACGAGGAATGTACACAGTGACCTTCAAGACATCAGGGTGCTGGGAGAATGGGACAGGAGCATGCATTTGAGAGAAGCACCCAGGAAGCTCTGATCACCTGGAACCATCCATAGGATACTCCTCCCCACGCTGCTTAGATTAGCCTGAAGGAAGAAAGGAAAGCATAGAGCAGCATCCACTAATTAAATCACTGTCAGCTCACTGAACAGTCCTACAGTGATTAGCCCACAAAACAGGAAAGGTTCAAAAAATTCAGTCCATGCCTTAGAGACCAAGAATGTGTTCAGGCTGTCTTTGGAGGAGAACCATGAGATCCTCGACTGTCAATCAAATACCTTGCTATATAGATTTGACCTGTACCCACAGGAATTACTGATTAAAAATGCAAAACAATAAAAGCGCTTAGCAGAGAGACTGCACCAAAGCAGCCGCTGTCACTCAGAAGGCACTGGACATCCTCGAGTGCCTCCTCGGCTGCTCATCAGTGAACACAGGCTTGTCCCCATAGTAACAAAGTGTGGTGCCAGAGATGTTGTCATCACCACTGTCTACAAACATGCATCAAGAATCTGCTGAGCCCGTGAGGCTCTTAGGAGGAACTGGTACATTGTTTTATTTTATTAAATTGGGTTATGTGAGGATATTTTCATGCCAGTATATAATGCTGTTGGGTATGTTCCCCATTGCCTCCCTCCTCATCCCACCTTCCTGCTGTCCTCTTTGTTTCTGTAGATAGTTTCATTTGGACCTTCATACCATCTCTACATATATGATTCTATGTATCTCTATAAAATCTAGGATCACAATGAGAATAAATATGACCTTTGCCTTTCTCAGACTGATTCAATTCACTTAATATGCTTATCTCCAGTTGCACCCCTTTTCCTGCAGATGACAAAATGCCATTCTTCTTTACAGTTGAAAAGATTTTTCCCATTTGCTTTATCCGTTCCTCTACTGATGGACAGACATCTTGGTTGGTTCCCTAACTTACTGTCGTGAACAGTGCTGCAAGAAACATCAATCAGTACATGAGTGTCTCTGTGGAATGTTGACAAGGAGTCCTTTGGATAAACACCCAGGAATGGTACAGCTGGGTCATATAACAGGTCTATTTTTAGTTTTTTCGGGAACCCCATGCTGACTTCCGTGGTGCTATACTAGTTCACCCTCCCACCAGCAGTGCACTGGGCTCTTCTTTGTCCACATCCTCACCAGCATTTGTTGTCATTTGTTTTCTTGAGGATAGCCATCCTGACTGGGGTGAAGTGGAATCTTGATGTAGTTTTAATTTGCACTTCCCTCATGGCAAAATGACGTTAAACATGCCTTCATCTATTTATTGACCATGTGTGTTTCATCTTTTGAGAGATATTTGCTCATTTCATTAGCCCATTTATTTGTTAGGTTGATTGATTTCTTGTCAGTTTTTAGTTCTCAGTATACTAGATATGAATGCTATTTCAGATGTGTAGTTAGTAAAACTCTTTCTATTGCTGTGGAATGTCTCTTCCCACAATTAGTTGTTTCCTTTGCTGCATGGCTTTTTTAAACCTAATGAAACCCCAGTTTTGAATCATTAGTCTTATTTCCCAAGTGACTACAATCCTCTTCAGAAAGTCCTTGCTTATGCCTGTATTTTGTAGTTTTTCCTCTATCAGTTTCAGAGTTTCAGGTCTTACATTAAGGTCTTTGGTCTATTTGGAGTTAATTTTTATACAAGGTGAGAGATAAGATATCTCATTTCATTCTTTTACATATAGGCATCTACTTTTCCCCACACAGTTGTTGAAGAAGTTGTTTCCTTTTCAATATGTATTTCTGGCATCTTTGTCGAAAATTAGGTGAGTGTACTTATGTGATCTTGTATATGGGTCCTTTATTCTATTCCATTGGTCTATGTGGTTTATTTGGGTGTCAGTACTGTGATGTTTTTATTGCTATAGCTCTGTAGTATAACTTGACGGCAGGTAAGATTATACCAGAATATTTTGAGGAGAGGAGAGTTTTAAAGTCCTGATAATAGAATGTCAAGCAGCATAGCATTCATTGGAAGTTACTTTGGAACACAGTGATAGTGTATGATTCCTTATATTTTTTTATTTTTTTGGTTTTGTTTTTTAAAAAATATTTTATTTATTATTTTTATTTTATGTGTATGCCTGTGTTACCTGCAAGTAGATAAGTGCACCTGTGTCATGCAATGCCCACGGAGGACAGAAGAGGTTGTTGGATCCCTGGAACTGGAGTTATGGACAGTTGTTAGCTGCCGTGTGGGTTCTGGGACTCGAACCTGGGTCTTCTGCAAGAACAGTCAGTGTTCCTAACTGATTAGCCATCTCTCCAGCCCCTCCTTATATATTTTCATAAGCATTCTCCACAGTAATTCAGTGCATTTAAACAAATTGCTTATGATTAACCAGTTTATGCCCAACATCACTCACCACTAGGTGGGCAGGAGAGGAGGAAGGAATATGTTATAGTACAAATTGATATAGCATTCATTCTGCCTTCTAACACAGTACACATTTACGGTGGGTCACTCAGTGCCAAGCAGAAACGATTCAGTCAAGAGCAAATGATCCTTGCCCTCACAGACTATGGAAAGAATGGAAACCAACTTCTGCAGGATTATTACAGTGAATGGTGCTCCAAACAGGTGTCTTTACAAGAAAAGCAGATGGCCTGGCTGGTCTTAACTGAATTACTGTACATTTGAACATCATTTAAGGATGAAGGTAGTTTCTGAGAACCATATCGCTGTGTAAGTATTGCAGTCTCAGAGAAAGTAAAATAGTTATGATGTCACTAGATAATGGTATCTGGGGCTACCATCACATATGTGGTCCATTCTTAACTGAAACGTCATTCTATGACACATGACTACATGACAAAAGTTAAGGACCTTGAAGGAGAGAAGTGGCCAAGAGAGAAGTAACAAAGGCTCAGGAAAGGAGCACATGCATCCCAACAACGAGGAAGGTCAGCTTGGCTTTATCTCAAAGTAGGAGCTGGGGTCAGGTGGGGCCCAAGGTGCAGGGCTTAAAGGTTTCTGTGTGGAGTAGGACAGGGTAAAAGTATGATCATATTCACATTGAAAAGTCCTCTGGAAGTCTTTATGGAGAAGAGAATGTGGAGGGAAGGAGAGCACTAGAGCACTGTGCAGAGTCACAGAAGACAGCACAGCTGGCCAATGTACTAGAGCCCTGGTCGAAGCTGCGCAGATTTGTGAATACACAAGCTGTTATAAAGAAAACAGAGGAGAAAGAAAATGCGGCAAGAAAGAACAGCAACATAGCTACATGACATGCAACTTAAGTGTGGGCCATGCATGCCAGCAACTGGATCACACTGGTTTCTTCCCAAGCAGTCAAGCGTGATCTCAGCCTAACATAAATAAGAGTAGGACACGCCAACATTATAAATGGAGGCAAAAGTTGGCTATGCCCCTCCTCATTGTACAGGGATAAATGCCCATG